GTGCCCACAGCCTCACCTTCACAACTGCTTTTACAAGATCAGGGAACTCCGAGGGGGATGAGGAGTGAGCCCCCTGGGAAGGGAGGGGTGCAGCCCCCCTGCATGGAGAGGCCTCCAGTGGGTGCAGTGAAGGTTGCCTGGGTGATGGGGTGGACCAGATGGCTGGGACTTTGTTGCATGGCCCAGGGTTCCAGCTGTGACCAGTTATCTGGCTGACAGGGCAACCCCTTTGGGGCTCACTTTTAAAATGTTCCCTGGTAAGGGGGTGTGGACCCCCAAGCACTGTTAATTGGCCAGCCTCAGGAGAACTGCCGTACCTTTGCAGAGTGCGGCTATGGAGCCCCTGAGCTTTGGCTTCAAGCCTCTGGGTACTGCAGCTGGGTTTCAGGCCTTGACAGGTAACCCTGGCTGCAGGGGTTGGAAGAGGACCCGATTCCAGCAGGGCGGGGAGGAAAGGGCCAGGAGGGGAGAGAGCCCACTGGGTAGGGGATAGTGCCACCCTCCCTCCCTGCTTCTTCCAGTCAAACCCCTCCACCCACCCCCAACCCCGGCCCCAGGCTTGGCCCTGCCCCCTGGGCACCCACTGGGTGCAGGGCATTATGCCCAAGAACCCTTTTGTGGTCTGGGATCTGTCCTGGCCCTATGGGTGAAAAAGGTGCAAGGAAAAGTGAAAACGGTCCCAGAAGGCTCCTAAATCTGTTTCTTAATAGCAACCTCTAAGTCTCCGGGGTTCTCATTTCTTATTATGAAATCAAGGATATGAAGCGTCCAGGAGTGCAGCCAGCAATCCTGGCACGAGAGAGTAGAGGCTGTCCGTTCCTTTTAGAGGGTGGCAAACTGAAAAATTGGAGGCAGAAGGGAGCAACATTCAGTAGCAGTAGGGACTGAGGAAAGCAGCGTGACTCTCCCTAGCAGGTGGGACAGGGCAGGCGTCCTGGAGGAAGGGCCGCTCAAGCGGTCCTGAGTGGAGGGGAGAGCGGGGAAGGGACGCGAGGCTGGCAGCAACCCCGTTTACTGGGCTCCGTCTGTGTCACTGGGCACTGTTCTGTCAGCGTACAGAGCGGACGGAAACCCTTGCCCGGAGGGCATGATGGCCCTCCAGTGGGCGGACGGCGACAGTCCAAGTATAAGGACAACCAGAGCGAGCGCTTTGGAGAAAAACAAAAGCAGAGCAGGGTCCGCCGACTGTGAGTGGCTGGGCGCAGCCACAGGCCTGATGAATTCTTGCAGGTGCGCTTCCTCTGAGTTTCCTGGGGGCCCACAGAGGCCACAGGCAGGAGAGGGCCCTGGCTCTGCAGCTGAAGACAACATAGTGTGACCGGAGAGCACGGGGCGGGCAGGGAGGTTGAGGCTGGTCCAAGGCAAGGTAAAGGGCCCCTTGGGGCTGGGAAGATGGGAGCGAGGAGTTAAGGTGTTGCGATGGGATAGGCCTGGGCGCCGACAGCCAGCCTAAGGGGTGGTAGTGACAGGGGCAGATACCGGGGACACAGAAGACCCTGCAGAGACTCCCAGGTTCCTGATTCCAGGAACCGAGCGGTTGCGGGAGTCTGCAAACACGTGGACAGCTCACAGCAGCCCCACGCCATCAGAAGCCCGGGGGCCAGGAGACGGAGTCCCGTCCCATGTCCTGGCCTCTCCTCCTGGGTGTCAAGTCTGCCCTCAGCTCCCAGAGCCTGACTGGAGCCATGTCATCTGCACATGCCCAAAGCCGGTGCACTCAGGTGCCCAGAAGGCCAGAGACAAATGTTCTCTCATCGGGGTTTTCCTTCCTTCAAGAAATGTTGACGGAGCACCCTCTGTCCTAGGGGATACAGAAATGAATAAAACGCTCGGGTTCCTGTCTGCGTGTGGCCTAGAGTGTAATAGCTATGGGGGGCAGGGCCTGACCCCACACAAACCCTGTCAGCGTGTGAAAGGGGGTGGAGTCCAGGGTGGGGGTGGGGGTGCCCAGGAGTGTTTCCAGGAGAATGACTCGAGGGGAGAGCCAGAAAATGACAGGAAGACGACTCCGGGAGGGCTCCAAGCGGAGGGGAAGAACGAGGGTGGGGACCACAGCGGGCAGGGCATTACAGGAAAACCCATCAAGTGCAAAACCCAAGGGGAGTGACAAGGAGAGACTGGGAACTGTGGAGAACAGGTCACCAGCTGGCTGCCGGGGCTGGGGTGCAAGAGGACTTTTGAGGGTGACCTATTGTCGATGGCAGCAGTGGTCACACAACTGTAAGTTTGTCAAAATTCATAGAACTGCGCCAAAAAGGGGGACTGTCACTGTAAATTATACCCCCAACAAGCCTTACTTTAAAATACCTTTATTAAAAAAATGAAATATGAACCTTTACTTTCTTAAGGGGAAAAAAAAAAAAGAGGCTGCAAGGCAGGCAGAGGGCAGGTCCCACATGGCCCACAGGCCCTGGGGAGGGTTCTGGTCTTCGAAGCCCCTGCTGCTGGTTGCAGAGGAAGACGGACTTGAAACAGTTTTGTGGGACACCCTCCCTCTCCCCGGTGGACAGTGATGACGTGGCCGTGCTGCCAGCCCACAGTCCCAGGAACCTCAGGGATGGGCACTGCCTGGTGCCACACTCACTGTCCTCTCTTCTTCCACATCCACAGCAACAGGAGGCGACAGCTGCTGGTCCCTGCCAAGCCCCCAAAGGACTGGGAAGTCCCAAGGGCGTAGCCTGCCTCTAGGCAGGTTAGTCACACCTGGGAACTGTCAGTTCTTTAGGAGGGAAAGGACAGGAGCCCAGGGACCCCGAGTGGGAAGGGCCTGCCTCCCGGTCATTGTAGGGAGTCATCCCCTTGGGAATGAGCATGAATGCGGTGCAGGGCAGCCTTTGCAGCCTGGGACCGGCCCCTGGCAGGGAGCAGTTGGTGGGAAGGAGCAAGGCCTGCACACCTACTTGAAGACGGCAGCACCTGCAAAAGCCCACACAGGGCCATCGCTGAGTCACCTGGGCACAGTGGAACATCCAAACCTGCTTGGCTGATGTGCAGCCGGCTGGATGAGTGTTCTAGATGATTCCTCAGAGGCCTGAGACCCAGCCAAGTGAGCCAGGGTGCAGAGGCTGAGCATGCGGGTCTCCCAGGAACTCGTCAGGGAGTTGAAGCGAGAACAGCACTCCTGCCCTTTCCAAACTGCACCCGCAGCCTACCCGGTGCCACCGGAACACACCCACCCAGGCGGACAGGCTGGCTTCAGCAAGGGAGTGGGGGCCCTGGCCATGGCAGGGCTTAACAGCACAGCTGTACCTCAAACCAGCTTAAATCTCTGGAATCTGCTTCCACCACTTTGCCAAGCCCAGGGCTGCGAGCCTTGGCACAAAAGGATGCCTTCTCTAAGACCAGAGGGCTGGTCTTCCAGGAGCCGGGACAAAGGAAGCCCAGCTGGTACACCCTCCCTCCCAGCAAGTGAACACTGAAAGGGGAAGACTGAACTCACTGAGCACCCCTGGACCCCTCTCCTGGAGAAAACCATCTTACATGACCAGATTCATTAACTACCTTGTGCCCTTAAAACTCTTAGAGGAAAATCAGTGGTCTTAAGCACTTAGCTACTTGGGAGTGGATTTTAGCCTGTACACTTTTATTTCCACACCAGATGGGCCAGCTGCTCATTTGTTGGAATATGTCTCCACCTTGTGGTGGATCCTGACATGACCCCCCCATCTCCATCTCCCAAATTTGATAGTCAAAGAGCATTTCAAATACCTTTAAATGTTACCTAATTTAACCCTTATGATAAACCATGGAAATTAAGTACCATGGTTGTCGTAACAGTTTGGACAGCGAGGCCAACATGTAACAGGGCTGGACGGCTTCCTTGCCAAAGGCCTAGGAGCCCGCAGCCTGTGTGGGCCTAGCCACCCAATGTGGGAACAGCCTGGTTTCAGGCTCAACGAATATGGTATCTCTGCGTGGTGCTCAGGGGTGGGTAATGTGTCAAGATCATGCAGGTTACCAAGCAGCAGAAGCTGGATTTAACCCCCAAGGAGTCAGGTCTGGCTCGGACCGTGCCTCATGCTGGGATTTGGGCCCTCTAGCCCGTATTCAAGTAGTGCCATTGCCAACACCCCAGTGCACTTGATCTGTACCCCACTGCCTTAAGGCCCCGGGTCTGACCACTGGCAGGAACCCCAGAACTTTCCTTTAACATGAGCCAATTTTACAGGCTCCTCCCTCAGTTGCAACGTCTCCTTACCTGTTTCATGGTGGTTCCCTCTTCCTGGAAATGCTTGACCTACTTTGCTAGGCTAACATCTGCTCACCTGTTCTCAGCTTTAAAGGCTCCCTCTCTGATCCTGGCATCTAAATTGCCCTTTCAGCCCTGGCTGTGGTGGCTGAGTGGATTGAGGGCCACCCTGCAAACTGTAAAGTCCCAGGTTCAATTCCCAGTCAAGGCACATACCTGGGCCGCAGGCCAGGTCCTTAGTTGGGGGGTGTACGAGAGGCAACTGATTAGTTTCTCTCCCTCCAATCGCCTCTCTAAAAATAAGTAAAATCCTAAAATAAATAGCCCTTTCACCTGCATCAATCTCATCATGCCCCATACTGTCCCTGACTTCTTTACCGGCAACAGTACTTAGGAAACACATAGTGTCTTAGCCCCTCCGGCTTCAGCAAAGCAGCCCAATATTCCAAGGACAGCTTGGCTTGCAGCCATTCCCAAGGCGGCTCTTCAACCCCCACTTTTAACTATCGTTTTCCTTATCAGGGAGCTCATTTTACCTAAGTGACTTAAATCTCCTGAGTGCACAATGGCTTACGTCCACAAGTATCTGGCTCACGTCCACAAGTATCTGGCTCTTCCGCCTATTTCCATCTATTTTCAAACTCAGGCTAAAACAAGGATGGCTTCATTGGTCTGTCCATTGAGACCACATTCCAAGGTAAGAGACACAGCCAAGGTCAGAGGTTGCTACCAGGACCTCCATCCCAGCCCCAGCAGCAGCTATGACGTCGTAACAACTTCCCTTCTCGTCTTCAAAGACAAGACACTAAGAATTTTTAGTATTTTAATACAGATCAGCATGTCTGGTTCATTTCAGCTCCTTCACTGCCAAACCTAGAGCAAAAGAGAGAAAAGTGAGTCACCCAGGATACATTTTGTGTTACTGCTGCTTGCCCGGATTTTTGTACTTAGCTGAAAAGGGCTCACAAAGCTCAGAAAGTAAGCCCACCAGGAAGGATTTGCTTAAAATATTCAGTTGAATTAAAAAACAAAAAACAAAACCTGTCAGCCTTTATAAAGAGGTCCCCATTAGTTCTCACAAAGCCAAGCAGCTCTAGTTAACTGTTCAGTGGGAAGAGGCAGCCTTCAGGGCCGCTCTGCGCTCCCTGGTCCTCCCCCGACGAGGACAGATTCTTTAATTAACCCAGGCTCATGGCCTACTGCCCTTAATCAGTTTTCCAACTAGTAAAAATGGATCATCAAAACCAGTAACTGCCTGGTGAGGATGAAACTCAGAGTAAGAAAGCATAAGCTGCTACTATTCTGCGTTAGAAAAGCACAGATTCCTGTGGCCAGGGATCCTTGGTATGGGCTGGACCCCTCAGAATCACCTTTCCCTGCACCACCAACAGCAACAGCAGATGCTCAAGGCCACAGATGGACTTTCCTCAATGAGGACACACCTCCAGAGGGCAGACAGCGACACGCCCATCTCCCACACCCTCGGCCACCCGCCCAGCATCCCCACCCACTCACCTGGGGGAAGGGACTGCTTCAGTTTCTCGGCCTTCTCTTTGTCTGTGATGACCAAGGTGTAAAGGTATCTGCTGCATCGCACTTTAAACTTCACATTGTCCTTATTTTTCTTGATCTTGACAGCTACCAAATGGACCAGAATCAGTAATTTAATTGCATAGAAGACACCACACGATTTACCCGACCTTACACATGCGCAGAACTGGCACTTAGGACCACAACCACTGACAGCTGTGCTTGTCCCCGTCCTGTCCCTCTGCTGAAATAGAAAACAAGATTTCCTCTATGATGCCAGTATTTTAAAAGTGTCAGAAATGGGCCTGACTCTAATTTGCTTGTTTATGTATCTCGTATGCTGAATACATCCTAGAACACTGTCTCCATCTTATTTTTCTGAAGGAATGGAAGCAGCTAATACAGGAAGGAGACAGGACATCTACTGGGATCAAGGAGTTTCCACCATTCTACTTCTGAAGTCAGTTCCCTGCGGATGAGACCTTGCAGGGGCCATGGTGAAGCAGTGAGTGTGTTCGTTCTTTTTCTAAAACTGACACGGAACCCATTTTCTGGCATCTGCTGTTGTGAAATTCTCCCAGGACTATAGCTCAGACAATAAAAAGCCCCAAGTGCAGCTCAAATGCTGCAGTGCAAGGTGTGAAAGCTCGCAAGTCTGGTTACGGAGAAGTGTCAATCATTTCCATGTGGCCAGCAGCCATTCTGGCTGCTGAGGAGAACACAAATGCTTCCTGTGGGCCAGTCATTTCAGGGACCCACCAAACCCTGCATTCCAACTTTTTAAAAAAGCAGCTCAGACCCCGCCCCCCCCCCGCCCCGCCCTGGGACCTGTTACTATGAAAGCCAGATGAGAATCGAGCGGCCAAGGGCCGAACAGGGTAGCTCTAGTGCCTCAGCCCAAGCACCTGACCAGGCACACGAGCACTCAGCACCTCACAGAAGCAGCACAAGTTAACGTGTACTCACAACCCCAACTCTGCCAACAACTGCTAAAGTGACAGGGCACAGGAAGCTGAAGCACCGCGGCTCATGACTCGGAGCCTGCACATGGCACTGGCCACCCTGGCTCATGTTTTAGTCAATCCAGAAACCCAGATATTCATTCAAACCAATCTATTCTACTACCGTAACATTCCTCTCAAAGCTAAGGATGTGGCATTGTCCCTAGCAGCTGCTGTACACCTGTAAGAACATGTAAGGTATACTGACCTCCCTCTCTCTTTTTTTAATGTTTATTCTATTACAGTTGTCTCCATTTTCTCCCCCTTTACCCCCCTCCACCCACCCTACCCCCACTCCCCCACTCCCACAGTCAATTCCCACTCTGTTGTCCATGTCCATGGGTCATTCTTACATGTTCTTTGTCTAGTCTCTTCCCCTTCTTTCCACCACTGTCCTCCTACCCCATCCCCTCTGGTCACTTTCAGTCTGCTCCATGTTTCTGTGCCTGCGGTTTATTCTGTTCATTAGTTTATTTTGTTGAATAGATTCCACTTCTATGTGAGATCATACGGTATTCATCTTTCACTGACTGGCTGACTTCACTTAGCATAATATTCTCCAGTTCCATCCATGTTGTCACAAAAGGTAGGAGTTCATTCTTTCTTACAGATTTATTTTTTTAATGTCAAAGTAAATCATAAAATATTAAAAAATTTAAAACCATTATAAGTTCTCAGCAATTAAAACAACATGACACCAGCACAGAAATAATCAAGTAGATCAATGAAATATAATGAGCATTCTAGAAAAAAACATATATATCTAACAATGTAATATATGATTAAATTACAAATCAATAGGTAAAAGAAGGCGCATGGTCTAAGGCGCATGCCTTAGGCGCATGCACTAATCTCTTTAAAAATGTGTAGTCAACATTATCATATGAAACATTAATTCCACACACAGGGTATATACCCCAAGAATGAAAGCAGGGACAAGAAGAGGTATCTATACAAAGACATTCACAGCAACATTATTCCTAATAACCAAAAGGTGGGAACCCCTCAAATGCCTGCAGGAGGATGAACAGAAAAACAAAATGTAGTCTATTCACACAATGGATCATTCAACTTTGAGGACATTATGCTAAATGAGAAAGCCAGTCACAAAAGAACAAACACTGTCTGACCTCACTCAGGAGGTTCCCAGGGCAGTCAAGCTGCTAAAGGCAGCACAATGGTGGTCGCCAGGGGTCGGAGGGAGAGAATGGAGAGTTACTGTGTAACGGCACAGGGTTTCAGCTTTGCAAGATCAGGAGTTTTGGAGATGCAATGTGAATGTACTTAATATCAACGAAATATACACTTAAAATGGTAAATTTTTTATTATGTGTGTTTTAAGAATGACAAATAGAATTAAGTTACTGAATACTCTATTATGTCCAGGGGACCATGGCCTCTATCTTTATGAGACAAACTGTCTAAAATCAGGCTCCTAGACAGAATTAAAATGCAAATGAATCGAATGGACTGAGTCATACCTTCGTGGTACTAATGTCTCTAACGGACCGTCCGATGCAACCCTCGCACCAGCCCCAGGAGACAGACACTACTGTCGCCCCCTCAGCCTCAGGACACGGTATCACGCCAAGGTGCTGACAGCTGCCTCCTGACAGAGCTGGGATCTGAACTGGCAGCGACCCCAGATTCCCTGGTCAGAACTACAACTGTCGTGAAGACCGCCTCCTCTTGACAGCACCAAAGCAGACAGCACGGGCAGGGCGGCCCCGGGGCAGGGCCAACTCCGACCCGCTGCCACTTGTTCTGACAGGGGGTCACCTTCTCATACACGTTACCCGAGGCCCCCAGGTCCCTGTGCCCTGTGAACCCACTGAGAGGCTCCCCCCACACCACTGTTCCATCCCATTGCTGACAAGGAGCACCTGCGAGTCAGGGCCTCAGCCCAACCCTGTTCCGGGTTCACAAACGATCTGCCTTTCTCCTCACGACAGATCTCAGTGGGAGAGGACGCTTTGTTGCAGCAGGAAAAAAGGTGACTCTGGGTTACCACAGCAATTCAAGGTCTGCCTTGTATTACGCAAGAGGCCCCAGCCCTCCAACAACTACAAGGAACAGCAGCAGAATCCCCTCCTATACTCGGTGTAGACAAGAACACACACCCTTTCAAAGTCTGCTGTTTTGTTTCTGACGTTTCATTTTGTGGGGTCAATGCACACGGCCCTGCCCCCACCCATGACTGAGGGCTGACCAGCCGCCCACTGGCCAGAAAGAACATGTATTGTTTTGGGAATGGGTTGTGACTCCGTCCTTATCTCCTTTTGGGAGCAGCTTCTAGTCCTGTGGCTGCTTCTGCCCTTTTACACACTGGGTTTAGAAGACACGTGCCTGTGCCTGGGACCCCCTAACTGAGCCCGAGCCCAGGGGAGCTGCGGGTGTGCTCCCCTGGAGTGTGAGCAATGAACAGCACGTCCACCTCCGCTAGTCCACCGGGTGGTTTTGTCAGAATAGCACAAACGCGCAGGCATGACCCCATTGTGGGGGCTCCTGTGCTACACACGTTGCCGTCCCTTTTTTATAGTGTACGAAATTTAACTCAGGTAGGAGTGAAATTGCTTAGTAAATAAAGTTCATCGTGAGCAGCATCTGCACTCAGCCCAGAACCGAACCTGTGGCACTAACTCGGGGTTGATGGGGCCGCATTTCCAGATTTTCACCCAGTAAGGCCTCTGTTCACAGCACCAAACCACAGCCACGACGAGGTTAAAAATCGACTAACTCAGGGATGCTTTAAAAATAACCCACTGACCAACAAAGTGTTACTTACAGGAAATACGACAAAGTCACTGCTCCCAGAGAGCCAAGCACGTGCTTTAAACAGCCTCGCGTCAGGCTTTAGGGGAAATAGCTCCCTGAATATGGGGACCATTCTATCCCTTTACGCACCCCGCAGCCCAGAGCGATCTCTTACATTTGGCATCCTTTCGTCTGGCTGTGAGCAGGAAGTCCTTGATTTCCTCAATTTTGCGAGGCTGTAATATAAAGAAAACGCAGAATGAGCTGCAGGTTAGGTATTTTATGGCGATGGTCAAGTCCACCAGCGTCTCTCGGGCCTCCGGAGACACTCGCAAAGGCGCTCCTGCCGTCGCCCTGGAACCTCGCGCGTCCCGGGGAAAGTCCCACGCAAGGGCCATACTCACCATGGCTACGAGACGGGGAGAGTGCGCGGTCGGCACCTACGGGGAAGACAAACGTTAGCATCAAAAAGACCCGCAGGACCCCAAAGACAGAGACCCCTACTTTCCCTCCCCGACCACCTGAAATGCTGGCCCCACAGCACTCCATCCTCCATCCCCGCACCCTCAATTCAGGCCGGGGGTCCGCAAATTTCATCTGGCTGTGGATTACCTCGGATTATACCCCCTATTCCCCGTGTACCGCCCAAAAGCCACTTACAGCAAGCACTAGCAAACAGAAAGAACGGAAAAGAACGAAACTTCCGTTTCCGGGTGGTTAAACCCGCCTCCGGAGGAGCCCATGTACAGTGTCTGCAAAGGGCCAAAGTTATTTAGGTGTTCTCCCTTCCCATTGCAGCAAGATCTTTGCCCCCTTCAGGCCTAGATTAATAGTGCAGTTTCATGAATGTAAAGAATGGGCCGCCTCCCTTCTCCACTCCCTTCCCGCTTCAACAATCCCCGCAAACCCTTTCTCTTTGCTAGGTTTTATTTTAGATCCAGTTTGAAGACCTAACACATATCTACTACTGTCGGACCTGTGCATTGGGCATCTGTACAGAGATTTTCTCTTTTAAATGAAGGGACCTTCCCATGTATATTTTAGAACCTCTTTCTAGGTGTTCCTCACGTTCCCTCCTCCTCTCCTTCTCCACGAACCTCTAATGTGTCTCAAGCAGGGCCCTTTTTTCCATTTAAGGAAAGTTTTCCATGTGCTACTTCCAGTTCCTGTGAGAACTGGTGCACAATAAGAATAAGCAAATACTTTCAATAGCCAAGTTCATGTCCCTACTGTGGGGAGAATGAAAGCTGGTTGGAGCTGGGAGCGGAGAAGTCAGGCCTTGGGCCAGGCTGCTCAGCGCCCCCGCGCCCAGGCTTCGGAACACTTCGCGAGGCCACGCACCTGAGGGGAGCCGGCAGCCTTTCCTCTGCCCTTTCAGGTCCCGCCCACCTCCAGCCCACGCTCAGGATATTTTTTTCGCACATAATTACTCTGAACTCATACAATATCTCTTCAGGCAGGCTTCGGGAAACCTGTGGTTATTGATTTTATTTTTATCCTCCGCTTTTATTTTATTTTTAACCTCTCTACAAATGTCTAAGTTTTATTATATTTGTTTCCCACAAATTTAATAACTGCACAACAGAATGTAATTGCCTTGTGCGTATTATTACACCTGAAGAGAGAGTACTTTACCATGAACTTTACTTTGAACTCACCCGTCTCCCTCGGGTTAGACAGGCTCAGGCTGAGCATCTTCCTGGGATGCTAGGATATATGGAAAAATAAACGAGCAGCAAGATCCCAAAATTCATCTAATTGTATCAGAGAACCTTTTAAAAGAAGCCAAACTATGTTTCTGTAACTACAGATGCATCTGGGTGTTAAAGTGGAAAAAGCTCATTGGTAGGGGATTAATTTTAGATTGTCTGAGGGTTGGGGTCCAGTCTGAGGGTGACGGATCCCTCAGTCACCACCTGGGGAGGACATTCCCAGATCCTCGAGTTGGCGTTGCCAGCCCTCCTCCACGGGGGCCTGTCTGGTCTTTTCTACCCCACTTTTCATTGCTCCACCACACGGGCAATCCCCATTTGGGCCCAAACTACCAGCCTCTTAATGCCCCGGGCTCTTCCTGACTCCAGACCCGTGCCGGTGCTGTTCTGCTGATACCAAGTCCTGCTTGTCCTCCAGAGCTCAGCTCCCACCTCTCCTTTAGGGGAGACCCTTCACCTCTGACCCTGGGCACTCGTCACTCATGCAGTCGCTGCCCACACACACGTCTGTCAGACTGTGCAGCCATGTACTCATGCAGGCGAGGCTTTTCTTTGAAGGCAAGAATGAGCTTCCACAGTCTGTTGAAAACCCTTGAAATGCAATAGTCATATATATACATAGTAGGTGCTCAATGCTGACACTGTAGGATTCTCAAGCTGGATACAGCATCTGGGATCACTCATGCACTCTGTGAAGGGCGGGCTGATTGATGAAGGGAGGGAGGGATGAAGGAATGGAGGGAGGGAGAGATGGGGAGGGAAGGAGGGAGAAAGGAATGGATGGAGGAAGGGCAGGAGGAACAGAGGGTTAAGTTGGACAAAGCAGTGTCTGGCACATCGTAGGTACACAAAAATATTTGTTGAGTGAATGCCTGGAGCTTCTCCGCACTGCAGGACCTACAGGACAGGGACAGGGACAGCGGGAGGGGCTGCACCTCCCTTTTGGCAGCGATCCCAGGGAGACAGATGTTCACCCTCTCGCATTGTATAGTAAGAGAACATAGATGTGTAATAACAAAACACAAACGCAAATTTGTTCAAGTACCAAAGGTTTTCTCCAGGGGGGAAGAATAGGAACATAAATGGCAGCTGCTGAAAGGCGAAGCAAGGACCCCGGAGGGGATGCCTCCCACACTGCGGAGGAAGAGGAGTCCCAACAGTCATGGTGTGGCAGCGACTTGCTGGGAACCAAGGGGTCACGGCCCTGGGCTCCGGCTGAACAGTCTGCATCTCTGCGAGTGGAGCCCAGGATGCTGCACTTGACAGAAATGTCCCTGGTGATGCAGGTACACACACAACGTAGAAAACTCTAAAAGGGGCCCAGGGCGGACTCTACAGGATGCGAAGGCCCCAGGTTTGAGAGCAGGGCCTAGCCTGGTCCAGTTTGCCTGTTACCGGTCACTTGGCTGTGAAGCATGGAGGATGGATTGGAATGTCTGAGACTGGTGACCGTGGGAATGGCGAGGGCTACTGTCATTGTCCTAGGGCCAGGGGGACAGCCGTGGAGTCAGAGAGCTGGAGATGGATGGAGGACATGTGTAGAGCTGTGGGAAGCGCCCATTCCCTCCTCCCTTCTGTTACCTGCTGGGCTCAGGGCCCGTGGCTGGGTCCCAGGAAGGTAGGGCATAAGGCCTCCTTCTCCCCCAGCAGGCACTGCCCTGGCCCCCCACGAAGGCTGAATTCACAGCAGCTTTCAGGGCACCAGGACGGCCAAAGAATTAGCACCAGACCTCACAGGGGGCAAAGGGGCAGGAGGGTGCGTGGCATGACATGATGGAGCTGGGAGGACCTCCCCAGCCTCCATGTTTTCTCTCTTTCAATCCATCCCATTCATTCAGTTCCTGTCTAATGAGAGCTGGAGTCGGGGGAGGTGGCCATCTTAAGTTGCCTCCCCTGCTTTCTGCTGCTCTGCCTGGGTCTGACTGGGTACCCTGGACCAGCCCACTGCACGGGCCATCGCGCAGTTGCCCGGGGCTGGCTCCGGTCTCGCCTCCTGCACTTACTGGCTTCTAAAGCGAGGCGTGTGGGGTTATGCTACCTCCTCTCTGTCCCTATGCGGCTACTGTGAAACCTCAACGGGATAATTTAAAAGAGCCAAAGTCGGTGCCATCCTGACTTCCTTCAGGTCTGGAAGTCAGTCCCCTGTCCTGGGTGTAGTGTCCCAAAGTGGCCACACGGGGGTGCTGAGGCCGTGACTGGAAATGGAGAGCCACCAGCCCCTTTCTGACTTGAATTCTAAAACCTCAGGCTGAGAGTACTTACATAAATTAGAAGTAATATTTGTATAGCATTTCATACCTGACGGGGTGCTTTCACATCTACCATCTCATTTAATCTCCAAGAGGCCCCCAAGAGGCCCATGCTTCTGGCTGCCGGCGGGGCTGGCCTTTAATCATTCTCAGAAGGGAGTTGTTTATTAAATCTTGAAGGTTTTCAGCAAGGGGAGAGTCTGGAGTCCTTCTTGCTGAACTCCGGCCCCTGGGAAAGGACGGAGAGGAAGGAAACAAGGTAGGGCATGCACAGTGGGGCTGGCATTTTTGGGGGGTAAGTCAAAAGGAAGGCAGATGACCCCCCTCCTCCAGTGCCCGCAGATTGCGAGAGAACCTCAGGTGCCCACGAGTGGCACCCACAGCTGCTGAACTAAAAGCCACAAAGCATGACGGGTCAGCCTGGAACAGGATTTCTCAGACCGGGCACTGCTGACCTTTGGTCTGGTTCATTCGCTGCGGTGGGGTATTGGGGTGGCGCTGTTCTGACCATCCTAGGATGTTTAGCAGTTTCTGGTTTCTATCCCCCGATGCCAGGCCCTAGTGATTGTGACAAACACACCTCCAGGTGTTGCCAAATGTCCCCTGGGGGAAAAATCACACACCACTGGGCAAGAAGGACAAAACCCCAGAGATATTTCTTAGATTGGGTGTCTGTCTCGTGACTGTGACCAGACTTCTCCTGGGCACAGCCTACTGTTCTTGTGCCCCAAGCCGCCTCGCATCTTTGTGCCCAGCCCTTTCTTGGGGACACTCAGAGTGTCAGCGTCCTCTTCTGCTGCCACTGCCTGGGGCTCTGGCCAGCTGGCAAGGGGGGTGTGGGCAGGTAGTCACCAGGAGAAGCCCTGAACCTCAGGAACAGCATTCCCTCCTCTGTGGGCCGGAGTCCCTTTTCCAGCACAAGACTCCGTGCAGTGGGTGGAGGCAGAAGTGGGGGAGGGGTGGAATGGGAGAAAAGGTGCCGTGCCCTCCCCACCCCCGCTAAGGAGCCTGTAAGACAGGGAACGTCCACCTGCCCAGGTAGCTCATTGACTGATTAAATGGATTCACCCCAGTTTTAGCGAGCTGCTCTGTGAGCCGGGCACTGTGCTAGGTGCTTTCCCTGCCACAGCAACAGCCTTTTGCTCACCTTTGTGACATGCTGGCTTTGTGCCAGCCCCTGGCAGGTGGTGAAGACACAGAATTAAGATCCTGTCTGTCTGCTTCTCTGTCTTCCTCCCAAGGAACTCCCAGACTAGCAGAGGAGGCTGCAATGAGGCAGGGACATATGCACAGTAAGCGCCTCTCACTGTGAGGCCAGATGGGGACTGTGGGGGACTGATCCAGGCTGGGGATGGCATGGGTCCAGGGAAATCCTCCAGGAACAAATAGCAATGATGCTGGTTCACAAGGGAGAGAACTCACCCAACAGACTCAGAGCAGCCTGCCTGCTGTGCAAACCCTCACAGCATGTAAGGCCCAAGGGGGCCAGAAAAAAGGCAATCAGAGTGGGTGGTATCAACCTAGGAGGTCTTCCTGGAGGAGGCATTGTCATAGGATGGGACAAAAACTGTTCCTGGTGACAGCCAGTCGTGGCGTCAAATCCTGTGTCTGGCTGGGAGACCTTGACAGTCTCCTGGCATCTCTGAGGCTCAGTCTCTCTTGAGGAGAGGTAATAATCCCTCCCTCTGTGTCAACTGTGGGTAGCCTGC